GATTCCAGAATTGTTCATTCGATTTCTTTAGTTGTTATGATGCAATTATAGTTCATTTGATCTAGTCAACTTGCTAAAGATATGTTGATTCGAAGAATTTTTTGCAGAGTATCGTAAGAGGCTATTTAGCAAGATGTGCTTACAAGGAGCTGAAGGCTCGAAGAGACCTGGAAAGGAAGAATAGAGCCGTTACGATGATACAGGTATGCAGGTTTTGAGAAAATACGATTTGCAATTTAAGTCTTTGATATTAGAGCCTAAAGGAATTATTAAAAGGAATGTATTTGCAATATTTGATGTTATTTAAAGATTAATCGCAGTTCGCATTTTGAAATTTTATGGCTCGGTGATTAGAACTAACGATTTGCAGTGTTTTGTACGGAGATATTTGGCGCAGTGCGAGTTACGACGACTGAAAATGCAAAAAGAACTGGAACGAAACACTGAAGCCGCTGTTGTAATACAGGTAAAGAGCGTTCAGAGGCTTGCGATACTTTAGAATTTTTAGCATTTTCAATCGATGATGTTTACTTTGAGACACTTGGATCGGTGATACTGTTTGCCTGTTGAGTTGCCAAAGAACTCAATTGCTAAGTTTTAAGCATTTTTGCAGAGTTTTGCAAGAGGTTATTTGGCGCGACGTATGTTCAGTAAGCTGAAGGAACAGAAGGATTTGGAACGTAGAATAAAAGCTGCAGTTGTCATTCAAGTAAGAATTATACAGATTGAAAAATCGTATTGAAAAAGTGTGATGATTTTCACCCTTACATAGTTGTAGGGTGAATAGGGTCATCGCACTTTTCAAACAGTTAATGCTTAATGCTCATCACATAGTTGTTGATTAGTTACGGTGATTATAAACTTTCCAAATGAGATTTTAGAGTGTCCTCAGAGGGTATATGGCACGATGTGCGTTCCAAAAGCTGAAGGCGGAAAAGGAATTGGAGCGGAAAACACGAGCTGTTATTGTGATACAGGTGAGGGGAGTTCGTTAACTTGTGGTTGTTTAAATTTTGATTGTTTTAAAATCAAAGAATTGGGTTTTAAATAATCTTTTCAGAGTGTTCTGCGAGGTTGGCTGGCACGTCGTGTTTATCGAGTAATGAAGAAACAAAAAGAATTAGAGAGAAGTACAGCAGCTGTAATAGTAATCCAAGTAAGAGATTCCGAAAAACTTTTTGAAAATGTTCGAAGCAGTATGTAATCGAAGCACTTACGATGTGAAGTGATTGTATTATATGTTGGGAAATTTAAAATGATTTCGAAATTTAGAACTGATCCTGATGAAGATCAATGTTGTATAGGTGATACAATAGAATAAGTGATGAGTGAGAAAAGAGGTATGTGAATATCGTAATATTTAAAGAGTTTCGTACGAGGGTATTGGGCACGGTGTGAGGCCAGAAAGCTGAAAATTGAGCGAGAAGTGGAACGAACGACAAACGCTGCGATTGCAATACAAGTAAGACTGAAGTTTTTTGAATTTTATGCAGGAAGCGATTTATGACAAACATTTATTGTTGTTGTTTTCGTTCAAAAAACTCAATTGTAAGCGCATTTTTGCAGAGTTTTGCAAGAGGTTATTTCGCCCGACGTATGTTCAGTAAGCTGAAGACACAGAAGGATTTGGAACGTCAAACAAAAGCTGCAGTTGTCATTCAAGTAAGAACTGTACAGATCAGATCATATTGTATCAATAAAAACGCATATTTTTGATTAATCGTTTGTTTTGTTTACGTGGATCGATCTCGATCAATGTGGATCATCTTCCTGATTGCAGAGTTTTGTTCGTGGATGCATGGCAAGACGTGTCTTCAAAGAGCTGAAAGCGAAACTAGCACTGGAAAGGAAAACGAGAGCCGTACTTGTAATACAGGTTAGAAATTATTGCAGAGGTTGTGAAAGAACTTAGTTTGCAGAAAATTTATGGCGTTAGCGCTTATTGTCAGTGAGCGATACACATGTTTTAATGGAACAGTTCATAGTTATGATTAGTTGACTGCTTTTGATGAATAAGTGATAGGCGTTGTTGATGATCTTAGGTTACGAATCAGTTATATTGAGTAAGTGAACGTTTCTGACTGGTTTGGTGATTTCAGAGTTTCATTAGAGGTTGTATGGCAAGAAATGACTTCAAAGAATTGAAAACACGCAAAGACTTCGAACGTCAACTGAAAGCTGTGATTGCAATTCAGGTTGGCAGTATTTTGTCGGTCCAGTCACTTTTTCATAACGCTTTACTTTCTCGAAGCTCAGTTATGTTCCATGCATATTGTTGGATTATAAGAAACAAATTTGATTGGCGGGTATTTATTTGGGT